GGGGGGGCAATGACTACCATAAGTCAGAAGGAATCTCTTGTTTTCAGTGTATCATGTGCTAACTTACATCCAGAAAGATTTTTTTCTGTGAGACATACATACCACATCAAAATGATAAAGGTAAAGTTTTAGTTGTATCATGTAATTTTATTATTTAAATAACTAGACCTGAGCCTCAAATGTCACTGTCATGAGAAAAAGTAGCCTAATGTTCGACCCCGCCCGAAGCAGAAACTCTTAGACGATTTGCAGACGAGTGTAATCGGTTCAGCTACATTATATTATGACAGACTTGGGACGAAATCTAGTTTTTTTTAAAAATATATGGCTGACGAAAGTGGGACAAAAACATTTAGTGAAACGAAGATGTGGGTCGAAAACGAGTGCACCGACATGGTTGGCAAGTTTGTTTTTTGTTTTTTGTTTTTAGTGAAGGTAAAAAAATTGTGAAATGGTACGGGGTTAACGCCCCTATCGACACTATTAGTGTTATTAGTTTAATTAAGAGGCGGGGCCTCGATCCTAGCTTAACATCTGTTTCCGAAAGGACCGAGCCAATTGGGAAATTCGTGTAAAGTGCCTTTCCCAAGGACACAACGTCGGACCAAGCTCAGGCTCGAACCCCCGAACCTGCAATCTCACGATTACGAGTCCGGTAGCCTAACCACAGTAAAGGTGATGTAATATACACCTTGCCAGAAGCCAAAACATGACAATATATTTTACTCGCCATATTTACTTTTGAGACAACATGCCTAAGACGTGTAGTAGCGCTCATGGACATTTCCACAACTTTAACACCCAGAGGTCAGAGTTACTTCTTGAGACAATGATGGAAAAATACAATAGAAAAAAACCAAAACAAAACAAAACAAAAACAAAACTCAACAAAACAAACGGAGAACCTTCTTTCCGCACCTGAACTTTAAGGAAATTACTACAGCTGAAAAAAAAGTATTAATACTTGACGAAAAAATAAAGGAAACGAGTTAGTGAAAAAATGATAGTTTTACAGTTCTAACGTAGTGCTGAGCTGAAACAGCGGACGAGATAATAGAAGTGGTCGTGGAGACAAAGACAGCCGTCTGATTCACAGGAAAAATGATGTAATGAGTGAAGAAGTGTAAAAGAACAACCCCCCCCCCCCCTTCCCAAAAAAACACACAAAAAAACACCCAAAAAAAACACGAAAAAAACACGAAAAACCCCCAACAAAAATCCCACACAAATAAACAAACAAAATAAACCAAAACATACATCACGTAAAGGAAATACCTCGCAGGTACAAACATGTGTGCCCTTGTGAGCAAAGGAGGAAATGTTGAGGGATGACCGGATCGGCGATCCCAGAAAATACCGATAAAATTTGTCAAAATACCGATTTTTGTTGTTGGTGCGGAAAGGCATCCTTTGACATCTGTTCTATTGGGTCACAATGACGAAACCGTTGGAAAAAAACAACAACACCCTAAAAGACCTCAAAGGGCATTTGAAAAGTGTATATTGAACTAAAATCCTGTTTTTAAAATTCCTGTTTTTTCTGTTTTTCTCAAAATCTGCTCTTTGACTTACATGACCTCCTTGATGCAAGGAGTTTTCAAAAACTCCTGAAGCTAGAAGATTCAAACTTGGCATACAAGTGCTATAATATCTATTCTGGGGATACATGTTGGGAAATTGGGAAATATGGATAACTTGATAAAATATTTAAATTCTTCTACATTTACCCCAAAATTTTGTCTACTGACTCTAAGGGGTCCATTGACTTTGGGCTCACTTTTTATTTTTTAACTTAAGTCAAAATCCTCACATAGAACCACAGTCGATGTAGGTTTTCACTTGTGTGCCAAATTTCAGGCATAGTTTCAATATTTTCTATGAAATTCTTCTACACTAAGAAACTGGTTTGAAAATCGAAGAAGGCTGCCACAGAGACTCATTTTTCAGAAGCAAAAAAATCAACAAATTCACCCCCTAATACATACTATTTACCCAGGAACTTTTTGCACAGATCATACATGCAAGTGAATAAAAGTTATTCGTTTAGAAAATGTTTCTGGGAGTGTAGGCTACGTCTCCTCTGAAGTTAACAGTAGGTCTATGTCCTTAAACACATTGATGATGCGTGATGCAAAAAATAGACTCTCTGGATGCAACAAAAATTTTAAAGTCTAATTCTGTCGTATTCTACA